TTATATGGTTTTTTTATTGCTGTTATGATTGGGTTGTGTATTTTGGATTACTGCTCATATCGATGCTGGAAGCGTTCCTAGTTTAAAAATGAGCATTTAGCTATGGCTGATTATACAACATGCATAGCCATTTACTTGGCTCAGGCTCGGCGTGCTTAGATCCCCCGCCTTGGGATACTCAGTGACGGGTAAGGACGGAAGCTTCTGTCTACCAACCTAAGACAGGTCGTATTGGGACATAAGCCCTGCAACTGATGATGGGTAAGGAGATGGAAGACTTCTGCCGCCTAAGACAGAGGTTCCTTGGCTGATGCGTGATGAGTTGATAGCATTCTTCATGCTATCAAAGAGAGATGGGGGAATTATGGCGAGCCATTACGGTGACCCTTGACACAGGCCTAGCCATGATTGAACTTTGAGTCACCTCGCTGGCACGGACGTGCTCTCGCCCATAGCCACGGGCGAGTTCAGCTGGTAGCAGATGTAACCCATAATGGTTATTGTTTCCCTCTGGAATGTGTGGGCGGTACCCTCGCTCCCATGCAGCCCTCGCTCCCTCGCTCCCGTGCAGCCCTCGCTCCCATGCAGCTGGAGAGTATAAAAGGAAGAGGTTCTGTAATCAAGCAAGCAAGCAAGGAACATGAGAAGGAAAGTGCTTCCTGTCTCTGTCCTCCTCCTTTCAGGTTTAGAACCTGCTGGCAGGATCCTGACGTCGCGGCTCGCGACAGACCTCTACTGGGGAGGTGACAACAGCCACCCCTGGCTCCCTGCGTGTCCAGGACTCTGAGCAGACCTGGCCAGTGGGCCGCAGATCTGGGTGAGTTTGATCAGCTGGGACAGCAGCTGCCCTGGGAACTGGGCCCTTTCTGTCTCTAGCAGCCCCACTTCTGGGGTGCACATCTCTGGGCTCACATGAGCTGCCCCTTCCTTGTGGGCAGCACCGTCCCTACCCTTGAGAGCAGCACTGTGAGGCTGATGAAATGCTGGGTTCACGTGGTTCATTAGCCCACTTCTGCGGCTTGCCAGACTCACCTGCCATTGTAGCTTGTGTCGGGATGTCCCCCCAAAGCCTCGCGCAGTCACAGGGCAGGCTGAATCTGCAGCGTGTGGCGCTAGATCACTAAACCACTAAACCACACCTACCTGTGAGTGACTGGTGTGGCACTGCCCTTTTCTGGGTACTCTGAATGGGATAAAAGGGGCACAAAGACGCTGTTAGGGTCCCAGTTGCTTTTGTCACTTTGTGTGCGCCATGCTGTTTCTCCTCTGCGATGCGTGTTTGCCGTCCCTGCCTTGGAGCCAGCCGATGATGGACCGGAAACCTCTACAGACTGTGAGCTAAATAAACCCCTCCCCTTTAACTTTGGGTGTCAGCATCGAGAGAAAAGTGCCTGACATATCCGCCTTTTCCTTTCGAATGGAGGCTGCAGTTTTATTTAAAATATACTTTTAAACTGGGCAGCATGTTTCTGATGTATTTCACTGTGCTGTATATTTGATGGGTTTAAGTCCACCTTCTTTCTGCGGTTAAGACGCATGACTGGAATAGCACTTCCCATAATTTTCTTCTCCTTCTTTCCACCGAGTTGCTGGGTTTGTAATTCTTTCACCATTCTTCTCCCAGAGTCTTGGCTGGGATAAAAGCACAGGCTGCCAGCTTCTCCCCATCTTTTCTGGAAGCCCAGAGTCATCAGGGAGCTTAGCCTGGGTCTTCTGGAAGGTTCTGAGAGAAGGAAAGTCTTGGGAGACAAAAGAGAGGTTCCAGGGTGGCCGGCAGTCAGGTGAGACCCCTGTTACACCCCGACAGCAGAGTGTGCTGGCCCAGAGCTCTGTCGCCTCCAGACTCTCAAGCTCAGGGCTGGAGCTTTGCAAGGCTCTGGAAGCCACTTCAGGCTGAGGGAGTTGGACAAAACCTGAGGGTGGACGAGGATGGACGTGGCGGTGGCCCACTGGGCTCCTGAGGGTGGAAAAGGGCACGGCCGGCAGGATTTGTGCAGTAGGATATGGAGAAAAGCTCCCCACTGCCCAGGCTTCCTAGACTCTGGGTTTATCCCATCTCAGTCCCGAAAGGAAATAAAGTTGAAATTTCCATTTGCTGCTTAGGATGAGAATGTTTGTTATATCACAATTTTAGAAATACAAGAGGCGTTTGGAAAATATGGTACCTGTTTCAATTTTAAACCGCATTTTATAAGAGGGACACTGCCAAGAATGACCAGACACGTGCATTCAAAGGGGGATATTTTGAGGGGGGTTAATGACAACATATATTTTATCACAGCATTTTTTAATTTAAACATTCACTGTAGTTTCTGTGACCTCTCATTGATAAATACTTATAGCAATTTCTGGTAACTAGAAGCATGCATTCATCCACCTTATTTGCCTTGTGGGCCACTGTTCGAGTTCTGGCTCCTCCCCAAAGTCAGGAAGAGCACAAAAGGGAAATGTGTTGAATCCATTCAGGGCATCGAGGCAGCCAGGGCAGCGCAGCTAAAGACAGGAGAGAGGGCTCCAGAGCTGCTGCAGGAAGCGGCAAGAAAGATGAGATTAGTGTGTTCAAAGTGAGGGGGAAGGTTTTCATGGGGATTAATGTGTCTTTTACAGTACACATTTTTGGTCTTTTTGCTGTGATTGTTGCTGCTGCTTTATTTGTCTCACTATGTAGTCCAGGCTGGCCTCAAACCCACGGGATCCTCCTGCCTCAGCCTCCTGAGTGCTGGCATTATAGGCGTGCCTCATCACTCCCAGCCTTTAGTACATTTTGAAGTATTCTCAATGATGGACAAACACTTGCTTACTTTATTGGCTTTACTTTTAAAAACACCCCTGGGGATGCTCTGTGTCAGGCACCTGTAAGTCTACACCAACCCGGATGTGGCATTTGTGGCTCACAAGATGCATTGTTCATTTTAATGGCTTCTGCCGTGTCAACTTCCATTCAGTTAGCCCGATTTATTCTCCCATAGGAAAAGAGTTAAAATGAGCACAGACAGTGCGTTCAGCCCCCAGCAGTGTGGGGACAGCGGTGTGGAAATGGGGAACACTGGGTGGGTGTGTTTTCACCAGGGCAAGCCAGGACCCTGCCCCAGCGCTCACCGGGTTGTTTTCCTGCTCACACTCCTCCTCATCCCGCGGAAGCCCCAGGCTCTGTGCCCTCCTTACAGATGCCCAAGGTTCTGTCCTTGTGTTCTGTCTGCTCTGAAAGCTGCTTCCCTGCCCGTATTCTTGCTCAATTTTAATAGCTAAGCGCATTCTTTGCCTGCTCGCCTGCTCTATGGAGCTTGGAACAGTAGTTTGCATATGTGAGCCAGGGTCCTGTTCCTGCTTTGTGGTGGGAAGGCCACGCAGCTACCTGAGAAGAATGTTCTCATCATTCTTGTCAGTGTCTCATCCCGTTTCCTAACAAGATGCGAGTTTCATGTAGGCAAACTTTCACTCGTCCATTGTATGCCAAGGTTTCAAACTGAAGGAATTTCTGTTGGAAAGGGGCTGCAGCTCACAGGGCCGCGCTGAGCGGCGCTACCTGCCCAGCACCCAGGTGGGTATGGGACGCTGCTGTGGGAACCTCTGGCCTTTTCAGTTTTTAATTGGAAAGCACTGTGCAAACCATCAACACGGTGAGTGGACTGCACTTGTCATACCGTATTTAGATCATTTTCCTTCTTTAATATAAATTTAATGGAGGGTGAACAAGGAAATGAACACCTGTTCTTAACCTGTATCGTGTAGGAAGAAACTGTTTCTACCTTTTTATAATTATTTATTAAAATATAATTCATATGGATAAAATGCTTCCTTCTGGAAGGTAGTTTGGTGTCTTTTAGTATGTCCACAGAATTGTGCAAAAATCACCACAATCCAAGTCTAGAATATTGTTTTGTCATCAATCTAAAAGGAAACTCAGTGCCCATTAGTCTTTCCCCACCCCTTTTCCCTCCAGCTCCTCTGGGGAAGAAAGTTAGCTCTCTGTCTTCACACATTTACCTCTTCTCCACATTGCTACACCCAGATGTGCAGAGAGGAAACTGTGCAATCAGTAGTGTTTTGTCTGGGTTCTTTCCAGTGGAGTAAATTTTTCAAACTTCATGTACAGTATAGCATGTAACCATGTTTCATTTATTTTGTGGCTGAAAGCTTTGCGTCATCCCTATGGACTACACTTTGTTTATCCTTTCCTCTGCTGGTGGACATTTGAGCTTGTTTTCCTTTGTCCTATTATGAATGATGCTACTCTGAACATGTGTCTTGCATGGACATTATTTTTCAGCTTTCCTGGGTAGATAGAATTTCTGGGTCCAATGGTAGTTCTCTGCATTAGTTTTTTAAGAATTTTCAGTTTTGCAAAATAGGTATGCGGTTTTACATTTCCACCAGCAATATTTAGGGTTTCAATGTCTCCTCAATCTTGCCAAAGCACTTTATTGTCTGACTTTTAAATTTTAGCTATTCTGTGGGGTCTGAAGTGGTGTCAGATTGCGGTTTTCTTGTTCACTTGATCATTGATTTTGTTGAATAAGCACATACTTTTCAAGAACTTGTCAGGTATGTTCTTTGGAGAAATGTCTATTCAAATCATTGTCTGTTCTTTATTGGATTATTTGTCTCTATATTGGTGAGTTACAAAATTTGCTATATGTTCTGTATATAACTCCTGTACCTCATATATAATTTGTAAACACTACTTTCATTGCATGGATTTTCTTTCCATCTCTGTGACGACTCTTAGAAGCATCTAATCCATCTTAACTGATATTTTTTAATTAAAAATAGACATTGAGTTTTACTACCTACATTTTTTGTCACGTAATTATTCTGTATCACTTGTAGTATCCCGATGTTAAAATATATTTGCATTTCCAAAATGAATCTCATTGGTTAACAATCGGGATTGATGATAGATAATTGATTTTTTGTTTGTGTTTTATTTCTGCTGCCAAAGTTCAGTGTAAAGTAGTATATTTGTGATAATTAAGCCTTTGTGTCTCTACCATACTCAGATTTAAATATCTAATACTTTTTTCAGTGCTTGATGAAGGTAATACGAAGAGCTCTTGTGGTAAATTAGCTGATGGTCAACTTGGAGAACCCAGCTGAACTGGGTCAGGGTGCTTTTGGGTGTGGAGAATCCACCTGAAGATTGCTGCCAACGGCCCAATGAGAGAACTGGAGGGGAAGATCCTGGGCTACTGATTTTCTAGGAGCAGCTCATCATGGTTGCTTTTTTCCTGATGTGAACTGGGCTGTTCTCATCACTGGAGGAGCTCGGGGCCTCGCTGCTGCTGGGGATGGCTGTTGTTCCTCAGGGGAGCTCTGGTCTTCAGTGTGAGCATCGCTGCCTGGCTCTCATGCAGGTCCCTCAGCCTGGTGTCACAGATCCTTCACCCCACCTGTGCAGGTTTTCTGGCTTCCCCCGCTGGCCCTTGGGCCTTCCAGGTGCAGACGCTCGATATGGACAAGTGTGAGACATCGCCGTGGGCTCCAGGCCTTCAGCTGGATGTGGGCGGGACATTGCCATGGGATCAGAACCCTTAGCTGGATTCTTTGGGTCTCTAGTGCATGGCTAATTTCTTGCACTCCTCTGCATTTGACCTTTGGGGTGACTATTATAAAAGAATCCTGTGAATGATGTGTCCTGTATGAAATCTGTTCCCTTGCAAACCCCAACTGCAACAGCTCTCCTGGGACACAGGACATAAAGCCCTGCTCGGTGTGGCAAGATCCCTGCTGTGAACACGGGAGCAGCTCCTGTGCCTGAAGGCCTGACTGCATGGCACGGGCCCATCTCTCATCCATGAACTGTCAGTGCAGGCTGACTCCCGCTTTCCCTTTGGACCAAAGCGTCCGGACCTGAAATGCTACAGTGTTGATCTTTGGTTCCGGCCGGTGATATCTCCCTATCCCTGCATAGATCTCTACTGTAAACTGGGTCTTCTCTTTCCTCTGTTCTTACATACTGTGCAGGACTTCTTCATACGTCTTGTGTGCGTGAGTGCGAGCTTGTGTGCCTGTGTGTGTTCTTTTGTGACTCTGGCTTGTGAACAAGGCATACAGTTTGATGTACATTAAAATATAAAATAATCCTTGGCCCTTGTTTTCTGTCCACTTCTCATAACAGGTGCTGGAGAACACAGACCTTTCATGGACCTTCCAGCCCTGTTTGAAGCTTCACCATCTACACAGCCTTCCACATCTACTTCTGGCACAGGAAAAACACCGGAGCAAAGGCAAACAGATTTCTAGCCATTTCTGACACCATCCCTTGCATTTTTAATGATTCACAGTGTCTCCGCCTCTGTTGCTAGGACCGACAGGAACTTAATTATCTCCTTGTCAAGTCTCCGAGTCACAGGTAAGACACCGCAAATAACAGAAAGCATTTCTACCTTTGGTTTCTGATATCTGTTTACTGAAGAGAGGCCACAATCTCACAGGAGCAGAGTGCTTTTGTCTGAGCCCCCACTGTTGGTCTGATAATTACAATTGGCTCCTTCCCGATTCTGCCACTGAACCAGTGGCTCTGTTCTAGCAGTGATGCAGCCATTTACTTTCCTGTCTTCTGCAGGTATTGATTTGTGACCTCTGGTGGGATCCACAGTGCTGCTTTACCTCCCTCCCAGGTCTCGCCGTTCACCCCTTCTGCCCACCATGCCCCTTTGCTATTCATCTGGGAGAATTTTGCTTGGTCTGAAATCCCGCCCAGCCCTGGTTATTTTGCAAACTGAAGCAGACACATGAAACTTGGTGGAGCACTAAGGTGTGTCATGTGTTACTCGGGATTTGCAAGGAAGATTTCATTTTTTCCACATAGATTCTCTGAAGAACCAATACTTTCATTTAATTCCAACAATAACAAAGTATGTCGAATGACCTTGTTCAATGAAGGGCATATAGTAAGGTACTTACCTTTCCTTGGAAATGTGCGTGCGTGTGTGTGTGTGTGTGTGTGTGTGTGTGTGCGTGCGCGTGCACACTGGCCCAGGAATGCTGACAGATCCTTTGATAATATTAAGTGTGATAATCAAGATCTGAAAGACAGAGACCGTAGGTGGAGGGACTCTCTCCATCTGTGGGAGTTTCCTGGTTGGGATGTTTCCCTGAGGTGTAAGAGGTGATAAGGACGCTGACTTAGACACATTAAAGATCTTGGTAAACACCATGGATCATGAAATGGTAGGTCATTTGTCAATTTTACAATTATGCAAGAATCCCTTTTAATATTTTGCCATTTTAGATTAGCAATTTAACTTTTTTTCCCAATACCAATAAACCCCCAACTCACTTCGGAATGCCAAGCTCAACCACTTCGAGGACATTTTCTGAGCCATTGTGACTGGTTTTTCTTCTCACCAGTGTCCAGTGAAGACAATGTCCTTCAGCTGACAGTGATCCAGTGCTTGCGAGCTCCAGATCTTGTAATTTTCTAAAACTCAGTGACTGGTTTTTCTTCTCACCAGTGTCCAGTGAAGACATGTCCTTCAGCTGACAGTGATCCAGTGCTTGCGAGCTCCAGATCTTGTAATTTTCTAAAACTCAGTGCCATCTCTTCGCCTTCCTATCCTGGGTCTGACAGAAATGCAGACATATGTGGGCCTTGGTGGCAGAGTATCTGTGTCTGTTACGCATATCCTTAAGAAACGGAATTTTTCCTCTAATCAGAATTTCCTAGAGTTCTGTCAATCAGTATCTCTCAATGATAATATGTGCCATTATCTACAAAAATGATTCATTTTTGGAAATTATATCCAGCAATCATTTTAATAGTCTGTGTGAAATTACTCTCCTATAAATAGAGAATGCAGTAAATTGTATTTTGCTCACATATATCATGTGAGGAATTTTAAAAGGTAGAGCTTACATTTATATTCATTTTTAATAACTGATTATTGCAACCTGACATATCAGGTTTATTATGTTTGACTTAATGAAATATTTATATATGTTTTTGATATAATTTAACTTAAAGTCATTATCGAGCTAAACTAATTTGAATCAAGTTATATTTTTTAAAACCCTAAGTAGTCCATTGTAAAATCCCTATTTAATGCATGATAAAATTCAGTGTAAATATCCAAGTCAGGAAAGAAGGAAGCAACTGTAATCTCGCATCTCGCTATATGGCACGTGGGCATCCTGGTGATGAGAAAAAGTGATGGGGAAACTTTGGCTGGTTCAGTTTTACTTTCATTACTCTAATTGCCCAATAAAAGATCACATCAGCTCTTGGCTCATCAGAGTTGTTTCTGTTTTTTAAAGTTTTCCTGTGAGAAATCAAACTTCGTTGATCACCCAGAATAGCAGGAGCCCTTGGGGTGGTGTCCGTTGCAGAACTGACTTACTTCCGGGTGGCTGTTGTTGGGCTGGCTCGCATGTGCACCCAGGCAGGGCTTCTCATGTTCCGGTACACAGACACCACTGAGACGTCAACTTCCGTCTGGGCGAGCCTACCAGACAGATCTGCTACAGAGGGGACCTGGTGGGCACCAAAGCCCCCGGAGGAGTGAGCTGACAGTGTCAGTGGCCTCAGTCCGCAGGCTGAGATGTCATTCCTCATCCTCTCTTCCGTGTGACACCAAGATCACTAACCAGCCGTGTATGTGCGTGAGCCAAGTCCTTTCTTATCCACAGCGAAAATCTTAAACATACTTTAAATTCTTTTCAGAACTGGGGACCAAACAGGATCTTTCACATACTAGACCTTCTCTCAGCCCTTAAGTACATTTGAATACCTTAAAAATAGCTTATGATGATTTGTATATCTACCTTTAAGATATTATTTCTTCTTTGTACTGTATTTAATTCTTAATATTCTTGTCATCAACTCTTGTGCAATTTATAGGTGCATTGCACTATATGTCATTATTCCATATTAAAATCTTTCAGTTCAAGGAAAAATGGAAACTAACAAAATCATGGTTTTCATCATTTCCAAAGAAATATCCATACAAAGTGGTTTAGTTAGTCGCTTATTAACTTGAGTTAAGAATCTAAAATGTTCTGTGTGGCTGAATATATACTGTTTTATGGAGTCTTCATCTTCAAAAAGGTTTTAAGCATAAAATATTGCTTATTTTTCAAAAGTTTCCCCTATAATTTTCAGAATTGATAAAAAAATTCAGAAATACCATAAATATTTCTGTGACATTGGGAATAGTAATACATTTTACATTGACTCTGTCAAAGCAAAAAACAGCACCCATACATCTATGTAACTGATACTTAAAATCTTTTGTCTCAGCTACTAGAAACACAGAGATAAGTGCACATAGTTCTAGTTCACAAGAGGCCAGCCGTTTCACATGGAAGGAAACTTGCTGTCTTAGTTACTCCTTGTGGCTGAGATACAATACCTGACTCCCACACTGAAAGGAGAAAAGGTTTATTTTGGCTCAGTTTGTAGAGGATTCAGTCTGTGGTAGGAAGGTTCCAAGGCAGGGCAGCATGGCAGAGGGGAATCGCAGAGGAGAAACAGTCCAGGGTGGCAGGGAACAGAGAGTTCAAGGGAGGGGGAAAGAAGATAAATCTTCCAGGCTAAGACAAACCACTGACGACAGTCACACTGTCATGATCCAGTCACCTCCCCAAAGGCCCACCTGTGAGTGCATGAGGCTTTGGGGGTACATCTAGGTGTAAACCATGATACATTACAAGAGCATCTGTTCTGTAATAAGCACTTATCTAAGTAGAAGTCTGTACATGCTGTTAGGCAGTTTTATATGGGAAACTTTTATATCACCTTAGAAACATGTAAAAGGCCCAATAGAGAAAGCACCAAATAGAGATGTAAAGGATACAAGGGAGGTTTTCAGTTTGACAAGTTGCAATTGACCCCTGAGCCAAAGGCATCATCATCTTCAAAGACAGAAGTGTGAGACACTATGGAAGATTCTGGAATCTGAGTAGTTCACTATGGTGGGATGATACAGTGTAGCAGGAAGTAAGACTGGACAGTAAGGCAGGCCAGGTCATAAAGGGAAGTGCAAGTACGCAAACCCCACTGCAGATTTTGTAAGGAAAGTGGCACTGATATGTTTTTACTTATGCATTTTTTACTTTTATGTAATTATATATTCACAGTCTGTGCTAAGAAGTAAAGAAACAGCACGTACTCTTTATCCAGCTTGTGAAAGAGGCATCAGGCAAAACATTAGGAGATTTTGAAAGCAGGAAAATTGGTCAGTAGAAAACGTGGAGGTGGATCGCACGCTGTGCCCAGGAGCCTTTTGAGAGGCTGATCCAGAGAGAGAAGGAGTTGCCAAAGCTGCTGCCCAGCCAGACAGAGAGGAGGGATGGACTTGCAGCTCATGATTATAATGAGAAGCCTTCGATACTGGTAATTGACTGGATGCTCAGCCCGCAGATAAAAGGAAAACTCGAGTTTGCTGTCTTTGAAGATGTGAAGATTCTCCAAAATAGAGACTAGGGGATGTGCAGCAGTCTGGCCCACAGCGGGTAAAGCCAAAGGACTAATAATCATGCAGGAGTCTGTCAGATAAAGTCATGGGTGCCCTTGTGAGGAATGTTTTGGAGGGAAGGATTGCTCCAGGGGATGAGCCCACACTTGCCTCAGCTGCTTTCTTAATTTGCTCACTCTTCAGATCCCTGAAGGCTGGTTATACAGTTTTAGACCCAGCAATGTAAGGATTCCTTTCTAAGAATCATGTCTTCTTTTTGCCCATTCTTCAAAGAGATGCACGTGAAATATGGAAATTAGAAAATCAAAGTGTCTTTCACATTAATCAATCAAGTGTTTGCTGCTTAGCCCCAGCTCAAAAGGAGTGATGGATACAATCTCAGTTTTTTTGTTGGATGCATCGCCCACTACCATCTTGTCCCTGAGTCACAATAACTGACACCCACACCGTGAAGGGGGAGGTTTCTTTTACCTCCTGTTTTCAATCTATGGTTGGCTGGATCCAAGGAGAACAGCACGGCCGAGCAACTTAGTGGAGGAGAGCTGCTCACAGCAAGAGAGGGAAGGGAAGACCCAGGCGGGGAGACACGCCCTTCAGGTGGTGCCTTAGGAGCCTGTCGTCCTCCCAGCAGGTCAGCTCCAGAAGCTCTGTAATCCAGGGTCCTTTCAGAGTTCCCCCCTCTGAGCAAATGAGGCTTTGTGGGGCATGGTCTAACTGAACCGTAACAGTGCAGATGAGAGATTTTATTGCAGTGTTTTTGTCGGTGTAGATTAGTAGTGTAGAATAACAGAAGGGCCCTGGCCGCGTCATTCTGAGCTGACCAGAGCCACGCGACCCCCACACGGTGCCTGTGTCCCTGCTAGAAATGTAGGCTCGTGGGCTCCGAGGCACCTGACCGCGGTGCAGTCCACGACTCCCGTCATCTCTCAGCCCTGCGCTGGACGAGGAGCCGAGCTCCCTGTGCCCCCGAGTTGGTCCCTAACGGTAACCACAGCTTTTACCGAACCCACCCTCCTTCCCCGGTCCCGGAGCCTGTACCGGAGCGGCTGGTCTGGTCCCTCTTGCCAGCGCGGTCACACTCAGGTTTGTACTGCCATAAAGCTGTCCTGTGAGCTCTTACCTCTGTTTCTTTTCCTTTTTCCTAGCAATAATGAGAGTGGCTTTCGTGTGTTGGGTCAGGCGTATAATGTGTTTTTATATTCTCGTTTCCATAGCACCCCCGTGTCATTCATCCCCTGCGCCCAGCCTCATCTCTAAGAATCTGACGTCTCATGTCTGTCCTCTCTCCTTTTGGTTTTGATGGCTTATGTAAGAACGAACATGCACTATTTAACTTTCTGAGTCTGGTTATTCCATTTAACGTCAGGGCCTCCAGTTCCCTCCAGTTTCCCTCAGATCACGTGACTTCATTCTTCTTTCTGGCCGAACAACGTGCTGTTGTGTATGAACACGACCGTTCCGTTATCCATCCATCTGCTTACAGGCCTGGCCTATTTCCACCGCTCGGCCATTGGGAATTGTGCCACAATGGACACAGGCACGCACGTCACTGTGGGATGGTTTGCAATCTTTAATTCTTTCGGGGATGGACAGAGGAGTGGTGCAGCTCGATCACATAGTATTTTCATTTTAAGCCGGGGGTGGGGGCACTCTGCATACTGCTTTCCACCGTGGTTATGCTAGTTGAGCTTCCCTCCAGCATGTAGAAGCACTCTCTCCAGCGTTCATCATCTGCTGTCTTCTTGAGGACCGGCGTTCTGGATGGGATGAGATGGATTCTCAGTGTAGAACTGATTTGCATTTCACCCAGAGGCTACGATGTTGACTTTTTTTCATACTCCATTGGCCATTTGTACTTCTTTTGAGAAGTGTCAATTTATCTGCCCATTCATTTGCTCAGATTTTCGGAAGATGATTTTTAGACTTCTTCACCTATTCTCAACAAATAGGAATCATCTCTCAGAAGAGTAGATGGCAGCTATTTTTCCATTCTGTGGTTTGTCTCTCCACCCTGT